CACTTGATAGAAATCGCATGTATAAGCTGTTATCAACATGCTTTTCTGCTTTTCGGCTAAATATGTTGGGAACAGCTTACCCACTCGATTTCTATCAATTGCGGAGAATGCCATGTCAATTCCATCGACACGCCTACTCAGAAGGTGAGATATGTACTGTAGAAGCTTGGGTATACCATGTCGGTGTCGTCAAAATCTGTGAAGTTCTCGTGAAATGCACTTCGTGCGGTTTCGATAACATCGTCGCACAGCTGATCTGCAGTTTATTGCTGCGGAGGTTTTTTTCTTGTGCGAGCGCACGACGTTCAATCGTGTTACAAAAGCGCCGAGAAGACGATTGACCTCTCGGTGGGTGCTAGGCTGCACGACCGGCACCGATTCGATGTGCCCAAGTGCACTCGCGTTACTTGGCCTCGATCGTCACCGTCGCGCAGAGCGTTGTGATGAATCAGACTAAGGAACCGGAGTTCGGCAGTCAAATTCCCACTGCACAGCATAGCGATTACTCGCCGGATGAGAAGGTAGGGAAGTGCTCCACATATGGTTATGGAGGGAACGCTAATGATCTGGTAACGTGCTGTAAAAATGAAGCCTATGGTGAGGATCTGTTTGTTTTGGAATGCGCCGTGCTTCTGCTTCCATCCAGAAAATTAAAGATTTGGATTAGCATATGTCTTTTACAAATCCTGCAGAAACTAGAAATATTCACATTAGCATTTCTTTTTATCTTCCCGGACGAAGTTGGCACCACTCACGAGATAACAACGACATGGACGCAGCAGGATTTTGCGATGAAAAAACAGCTCATTAGTATCGGAGGTCGAGGTTGCATTGATGTAATGATGAAGATAAAAGCATGAGAACGGCCCGGAGCCGAAAGTGGGACCTTTTTTCTGCGCGTTGATTTCTGAATCGTTACGACTCCCAACGGAGCTGCCCTCTTCAACGCTAACGCTCTCTGTGCTAGACGGCTAAGAGGGTCAGACAACAAGAAAAAAGGAACTTTTTGTTCTTCGCTCCGGGTCACTGTTTTCAGGGCAATGTCGTCTACGCAGAATATGATCCTCAGTAGTCCCTTCATGAGCCCCTTTACTATGACATCCAGAGTTGGAGGAATAGGAACGGGCTCAGAGCTGACCCTTGGTACACACCCACCGTGACGTTTATTCTTTCATGCCGTAACGTGAGCGTATAGCTGCTTGGGCCTCTACGGACACTTTTCACCAGAGAGATCAGGTGTTCTGGCACGTTCCGTTCCCTGAGCGCTCTCCATAGCACTGCTCGCGGTAGCCGGTCGAACGCCTTCTCCAGGTCGAGGAAGGCTAGGTAGCAGGGTCGGCGCTTTTCTCGATACTTCTCCATCACTTGCCTTGCGATGAAGATGGCATCCGTTGTAGACCTTTCGGGCATGAACCCGAACTGTTCCTGGGAGATCGGGACCAGCTCCCGCAGCTTCGATCCGGCTATCACACGATGATTCATGATGGTGCGCACAATTAACTTGACGCTTCCAAGTTGTTCGGCCTCAGGTGTGCGCAGGGTGAGCGCTACCTTTCCTGATCACTCATTCAGTCCTGTCTTAATAGTGGGTATCTGCAAGTTCACAAACAGGATAAGTGGGTCAGCGGTTGCAGCAAGACCAAAGCAGTGGGTATGTGAATACTTGTCCACTCCTATCGGCCAGTTGTGAT